GAGAAAAGTGCAGTGTTTCGAAGGAGATGTTGTCCAAAGACCAAGTTTCTCTCGAAATTGGGAGAAAAGGAAATATCGGCTTGGATTCAGAAGTAGTTTGGAGTTTGAGAAGGGTTTCTCAGAAGAAAGGAAGTGGGAGAACAGAGGAAGAAGTCAGTGAGAGGTTCCTTGGGCTCACAATAAAAGTTTTAGAATGAAAATTTCTTAAAGACCCTTTAAAAATCGCAAATTCTCGCTTGAACAAGAAAACAATTGAGAAAATTTGATCCATTCTCGCTTGAGCAAAAAATTTTCGCTTGAATTAAAAGGAATATTTTTCTTGCCAAAAGGAATATTCTCTTTTTTTTAAAAAAAAAAATCTTCCATTTGAAAATAAGAAAAATATAAATAAAAATTAGGATGTTATAATGATCAATTAAAAATGCAAAAGTTGCTAGTAAAAGAAAAAAAAAGTAATCAATTACAATGCAAAACAAAAATTAGAGAATTAGTTCTAAACAAAGCATTAATGTAAAATAGAAAAGCAAAATTGAAAGTACTACTAAAAAATGAAGAAAATTAATTCAAAAAAAGAAAATTTGCTCAAATGGATTTTTTTTTTAAAGTTTCTTAAAACCAGAGCCATAATCCTTGGCATTAATGTCAAAAAATTGATAGGTTAATTTTAAATTATCTATTTTATAGATATAAACAACTACAATAAGTACACCAATCATTTTAATAAGTATATAAAATCATCGTTCCCACAAGGATTGAACCAAATTATCAATTATACCTCCTTGGAAAGAAACTAAAACTATACATTATACTATTGAAAACTATCTAAAATATATTAACAGTTGAAGATATTGACATTGAAAAATTAAATGCAAAACAATGCTAATGATGCAAAACAATACAAAACAAATAAATGAATAACACAAAACAACATAATACAAAATTACAATTACATGAACAGAAATGCATATGAATTAATCTAAATCATATTTTATGCACAATAAATGTGTGGTTCAATGTTCACACAAGCATTGTGTGATCATAATAACAATGGTCACATTAAAATCTTAGCCCTATGTTTAGGCAGCTAGAAATTTGTTGAAACTCACTTCAAGTCTGAATATAAGACTAAAGTGTTCATTAAGAATTATACTCCTAATTCATCCAAAAGAAGCATTAAATGCACAAACAAAATTATTCAATGTCTCGTGCAAAACCAAAATAGAAATTACAAATTCAATTTAGTTTACTAGTCATCTTTTCATAATCCAAATTGTTAGTGTCGTACAAATCAATGTCTCAGCGTTTTATCATATTTCCTAGTTAGAAAAATCTAATATCTTAGTAAAATTCAACTAATAATAGCATGTGTAGCAAGAAATATTAACAACTACAATGCGTCTTCATCCTTGTAGGCAATGCAAAAGCACAAAAGACTCACTATAAATCTAAATATTAAATCAATATATTTATTGTGAATAATGATACAATCATACAAGTGACTTAAATTAGTTAAAGCATTAAAAACAAAGGCAATCATTTGCCAAGTGCTAGAAAATTTGAATCAAATTCAATTGCAAAAAAAAAAATTAAAAGTTTAACCTAAAATTCATCCTACAAAAATTTAAACACACATGAATAAAGAGCAACAAAACAACAATGATGATAAAAAAAAAAAAACTCCATAGAGAATTTGGAAAGACACAAGAAAACTTCTTAAACCTCTAATAGAAAGAGAAATCTAAAATAAAACTATTTACAAAATGAACTTGTTAACACCAAAATTTAGTTGTTTATCAAGGACTGTCAACTAGATAGATTTGAATGATGATAACCTATGGTAAAATAGATAAACTGGATGTCAGTTGAAATAAAATAGTTAATTTAGTTACTAGCTAATGAAGTTAAATGAAAGAAGGAAATCAACTAAGAGAGTGGCATGACTACAATTAGACTCAACAGTTAGCTGACATGACATTTCATAATTTTAGACATTATTCCAAACACCTTAATTGATTGTTAAGAAAGTAAAAACACAGTAGCTAACCATCCCCATAGAGATAAGCACAAAATTTAAACTCATGGTAGATAAGATGGCAATCACCCCTTATTTTTAAGGATAAGAGGTTTTGGAGTTTTTCATAAACCTGAACTTGTTTTAAGGCTCAATACAACATGTTTTCTACCCACTCCAAAGGCTTAAATATGCTAGAAACATAGGGAGTTAACACGGGTCTAACTTGCAGGGTGAATCTAATGTTAAAACATTAAGGTGAGTGTTGAAACACGCACTAATCTTTAATTGTTTGAGCTATAGGTGTTAAAATGCTTTGTTTATGCTGAAACAATGTTATTCTATAAATAGACATTGGAATGCCCAATTTAAATGTTGAAATGTTAAGCTTCCTTTGTCCAACTCTTCTTGGACTTTATACTTTATTAACTCATTTTAAGGTATTCTTTGTTCTAAATAATCCTATAAAATAAAATAAAAATTAGTTTAATTTTATAATAAATTTGCTTAAAAATTATAAATATTTAATAACTTGAATAAAATTAATAGAATGACTTATTTTATATTTTTAAATAACATTTTAACTAAAATTTAGTAAACTAACCTCTAAAAGATGTTAAAATAAGATTAAATATTACTTTAATTGTAACTTATCAAACCAGAAACTTTACTTTTTCTTTAAGATTTAGAACAACTTTATTGTTCTTTCAATTTATCTTTTAAGAGCTTGAATAAGTCTTCTTCTATATTGTCTCTTATAATAGTCATTCATACTCATTGAACTTTAAGCTTTGCAATTTTCAATGCAGGTCTATGTAATAATGACTTGGCACAAATATTCTTCTCATGACAACTTTTATTTCTTCCTATAAATAAATAATTCTTTCATTATTTCAATGCTTGCACATCACAAATTGATCCCCTTAAATACTTGTATAATTAGTAATTGAACAACTAATTTTACTTTCTTCTCCTTTGAATAGTTATGAAAATAAAAAAGTGTTCAACCTTTTTGTCCCACTCTCAAGCATAACTCTGGATCATTATTTTCTTGGAATGTTGAAATTGTTATCTTAATGTTACCTAAGTGATAGTTGCCCTTTGGTTTGCCTATTCCTCTCCTCTCACTATTTCTTTTACCTAAGTACTCATCTTCCCCCTCTTCATAATTACTTCTCCTTTAAGGTTCAAAATATCATAATATTCAAATTTAAACATATTTTTTATTAACAAAAAAATTCTGACAAAATATTTTTAAATTATAATTTCAAATGATTATATCAAGTTAATTTTTTTTAGGTTGCATTCTTATTCTTGGTCTTTATCTACTTGAACTTAAGAAAGTAAAACCACAGTTTTACTTGCATTTTTTCTTGGACTTTATCATCATGGCCCAAAATTGCCTATCTTTTTTTTGTTTTTTGAACTTTATAACCAGACCTTACAAAACTTGTGTATTTCATAATCTTTAAGTTTATTAGTTAAATTTCTATCATTAGGATAAAAATAAACAAAATATAAATGTTTTATACTCTTATTTTATTATGTTCTTGTCCAACTTTCATATCTTATCCTGTTATGTTTTTAGTGGACTATAGATCTCTTCATTGCAATTTCTCTTAACTCTAAATGGTTCTGTTCTGAAATAGTTCACCACAAGCCAGGACAAAATCCAACTACCCACTCAACATCTTAGGAGAAGCAAAAGAAAGATGATTTGCTCAAGGACTTCCTCTCCATGTTTGATTAAAAAGTTTATTACTAGTTCATAATATGGACCATAAACCCGCTCTGCATTTCTTAGTGAATAATTTTCAATTCAACCTTAATAATATGTCTTGGGCTAAAAAGAGGGTAAGACCATGAATAAACCCTGTTGTATGCTAAATTAATATATTAGTCACTTAACTCTCAATTTTGTTTCAATTTGTTCCTTTAATATATATTTTTTTTTTCATTTTTAGCTTCTTAACTTAAAAGTTGTGTTTTATATATTTTTTTTCTCAAATTATATTAACTCTATTAACCTTTTTTGTTTTTGTGTTGTGTCTTCGTTGTGTCACTACACCTTACCTTCCTCCCCTTTCTTCTATTATTCCTTCCCATCCCTTTCTTCCTGACTAATGCAATATGGATTTCATTCCTCACCATCTACTAATGCATATATGATACCCATGAGACCATTGCACCGTTCTATATTATGCTACCAGCAACAACTCCCACCATGTTTTTTTTACTCTACAAACCGTTGTCTCCACCAAACACTTCATTTTATAAAGAATACAACTCCCACCAAATCTTCCCTTATAACTCAAGATGACTTATGTTTCTTTTTGCTAGGTGAAAAAAGGAAAAGGACAAGTAAGAGAAAAGGAAGAAGAGAGTCTCATGCGAATAAATAATAAAGATAAAATAAGAGGACATAAAGAAGCAGTGTAAGATAAAACGAAATAAGATGAAGAGAAAGAAAGTCTAGTATGAACAAGGCATGATAAAGATGAATGGTCAGTAATAGAAGAAAAGGAACAAAAATTAACAAAGTTAATATAATTAACAGAAATAGACTTATTTAAACCATAATTGAAAATTAAAAGAACCCAAAAAAAAAAAAAACATGAGTAAATTGAAAAAAAATGAAAATTAAGAGACCAATCTATTAATTTAATTAAAAATTATATATGAATTTAAAATGTTTAAAGAAGGCTAGGAAACACAGACAAGGGGAAAAAAAAACCTTCAAATTCTTTTATGATCAATTCTTACAAAATACTCTTGATTCAGTCTTTTTCACTTATCGTAAGGATCAATAGTCAAGAAGAGGACATTGAATTTAATATGAATCAATCCTAAATACATAAAATTTCATCCAATAAATTATCTTAAGCGATAATGAAAGCATATAAAGTTGGCTATTAATTTGGAAAAGTTTCTATATGAAGTTAATCACAGAGGAAAAACATTAGACTTGCAAAGGGAAAGTGTTCGGCTAATAAAGTCAAAACTTGCAATTATGCCCCATAATTAAAGTCAACCTAATTAGAATATGTAACTACGACATCAAACGAACTGAAGAGAGATAAAGAAGCTGAATTATACTATCTCTAAGCCGTGTCATGCTAGTAAAAAGCTTTTGTTCTTTAAGGATAGGTATTTGACAAAGTCATATAGAGAGAGATAAATACAAAAGAAAAGCCACTAGTACGGGTTAGTGGTGAAGGAATTGAGCAGGTGAGATCATACATGATGCTGACATAGGTAAGATGTTATTTGGCAGGATGAGTTGGTCTAGGATTTGTAACCCAATGGAAGGAAAATTATAGTTTGGCTCAATCCATGGTGGTTTTGTTGCAACTCCCCCACACACAACTCAAATGTTCAGAAGTGGTTTGACGAGTTCTTTGTTGGGTTTGAAGTTAAGGTTGGATCAGTAGTGCCGGATGCCTCGAGCCCTTCCTAGACTTGGTTGTGGCTTTGGAGATTATTTAGTCGGATTTCAATCTGTCTCTGCTTTCTCTTGGATGTCATGCAGCTATACAAGCGTGGGAAAAACATCTTTAGTTTCCATATTTGGTGCCAATGTCCTACCCCAACTTCTCCTTTGGCCTAAACTGAAAGAAGTGCCACTAGAAACCTGCAATATAGACTTCAACACTCAAGTCAGTGAAATGGAAAACTACGTGAAATGAGTGCGATAATAATAACACGGGATTGGGGCAGAGGTAATCATTCTCATCAACAATGACTATAATCGTTCGAGATATGTGCCCAACATTCAAAACATAAATGATAACAAACAGTACCTTTGTGCTTTTGTTGAAGGTGATACAGCGCACCAACAAATCCATTCCATGCCATTTTGTTCCTTTATGCTGATGTAGTTAAAAACCTAGAAACAACCTCTCTACTTGCAGGGGTAAGGCAGCACACATCTACCCTCCTAGACTCCACTAGGTGAGTCTCTCAGGCATTACGTTATCCCTTTATTCATGATATTGTACAAGGAACAAATAGTGTTTTTTGCCACGAATACTAAGCTAATATTCTAAAGGAAATGTAAAATAGTGGCTTCTTCAAAACGGTCATAATTAGACAATTGATTTTAGAACAAGCAATCTTGAAGCTTAACCAAATCTAAACCCAGTTTTTAGGATTGCAGTGCAAAAACACCAAAGATGATCTTCCATATAGGACACCTATCCCCCTCTCGTAAACCTCCAATGTTAACATATAAAAGAAACAGAGAAAAATAAGTAGAGATATGCTTTGAAAGAGGTAATTATAAACATTTGACATCTTAATTTAATAAGAAAAACATCAAATTATGTGATATCCCCCAACTAAAAGGATTTGAACACCATTTATGTTTTTTTGTATATAAGATACTCTAAAAGCAATGCTATTGTAAAATAATAAAAAAGAAGAGCAACAAAATGTCTGTTCTTTTTTGTTACATTTAAGGAGAAAAAATAAATGTAGTCACGTAAAACCAATTGATAAAATATATTGAAAATAGTGAAAAATTAGTCTGCTGGCCTAAGAACTTGTGCACTCATTCTCAATCATCTCCTGAACCTCATTTATTACCAAATATGCTTTATGGCCACCAATGACTTCAGTTTGTTTCTTGCTGTCTTTCCACAGCTGCAACAAGAACATTTAAATCACTGGCAGAGAAGAATATAAAAAATATATCAAAATCACACACAATTGTGCTTACTTGTATGGTTGGCATTTTCTGCAATGATTGGGAGCCCACAACATTCAAATATGTGAAAAAAATTAAAGATAATAAGTATCAAGAAAAATTCTAAATAGCAAATTTAGTTGAAGCAAATACAACAATTCGAGTGATATGAAAGTTGAGAAAAATGGTTGTGTCCACAAATAGACTCATCATGTAATGCCATAATTCAATTCCCATATTCGCCCTGTGAGAGGTTCATAAATCCAGGAAATCTTTTAGATATTCCCAACACTGCTCCTCCCGTAAAACATTCATAGAACACACAAAAATCAATCTCAACAAACAACAACAAAAGCCTTTTCCCACTATGTAGGATTGGCTATATGGATCAAAATTCAAAAAACATCATTATACTGTCAAAAACCAATCTTTCAGGAAGGCCATTTACATCTATAAGAAAAGAGATTTCTGAATGTTGTGTCATATCATCACACATGAGCTCTATTTATCACATAGTGAGGTACAACAAGATCAACCATAATTACAAAAGAATAATTAGATTCTTTTATAATTAGTGTGTATATGTCAAATGAGCTAAGCTTGTCATAAATGTAGTCTGTTGTGAGGGGATTTAGTGAACATGACAATCTATTTCTGTGTTCAGTTCATTCATGGAAGACTGAATTTGAGGCATTATGAAGTGTAGCTTGCTGATTACAAATAAACTTTGTCTCCTAGATATCTCCTAATTTCAACTGTTGAAGTAATTGCCTAAGCCATGTAAGTTTACATGCAGCTGCTGCCATAGCATGATATTTGGCTTTGGCACTGCATTGATAAACTATGTTGTGCTTTGTACTCCTCTATGAAATCATATTTCCTCCAATTAGAACAATATCCAGAAGTGGACCTTCTATATAATGGTGTACCCAATCAATATCATAATAACAAGTGATTTTGGTATTATTATTATCCTTATACAGAGGAATGCTAACAATACAATCTCCACTATTGACTAAAATTTATTGAAAACTACAAAAATCATCCACTCTTTCTGACTCCTTAATGTTTTTTTACTCATACTTTTGTCGTTTTCAATAAATTTTAGTTAATAAAGGAGAATGTGTTGCTAGCATTCCTCCCTTATATAATAGCCCTCATCTTGGTGCATTTTTTCTATACTGAAGAATACGAATTACATCATCCCAATGGCTATCACCCAGAGCAGTCAAAAACTGACTTACAACACTAACTACAAAAGTGATGTTAGTTCTAGCAACAATAAGACAGTTAATTCTGCCCACAAGAAATCAATATTTTTTCAGCTCTTTCAATGGCTCCCCCGACTTGGGAGAAGCCTAACATTGGGATTCATAAGAGTATCACATGGACAACAATCAATCGTATTGGTCTCAATGAGAACGTCCATAGCACACTTTTGTTAGGAAATAGCAATAGTAGAAAAGGATTATACAACTTCAATACTTGTATTTTTGATGGCTTCGTAAGTTATCTGAGTTATTAGATGACATCAAAATCATCACCAGTAATGACAATATGATCAATATAAACAACCAGATAAATGCATCAGCCAGACATAAAATGAGTAGAGAAGACAGAATGATCAGCTTCACATCTGGTCATGCCAAATTGTATTATGGCAGAGTTAAAATGTCTGAACCAAGCATGAGGGGACTACTTCAGACCATAGAAGAAACATCAAAAGTGACAATCATGATGAGACTAACCAGGAACAGTAAACCCTGGCAGTTATTCCATCTAAACTCCTTCCTATAAATCACCATGCAAGAAGACATTTTTAATATCAAGTTGATGGAGTAGCCAATGATGAATAACATCCATTGCAAGAAAAAGATGGACTAAGGTGATTTTGGCCATAGGAGAAAAGGTGTTGCCATAATCTAGACTAAAGATCTGTGTGTATCCTTTAGCTACCAAGCAAGCTTTAAAGCGCTAATATTGCCAGTAGGACCAATCTTCAACAGCAGTGATTTTGGTGGATGGTAAAGAACAAGATCCCAAGGGTCACTAGAATACAAAGCAGCATCTCATCCACCATTGCCTAATGCCAAGGAGGATCACCCATGGGTTCACCTGTACAGTTGGGATTTAGGAAGACACAAAATCCAAATAAGAGACAGAAAAAATAAGAATGAGATAAACAGTCGTCATTATAAATACAAGAATAAAGAAGACCAGAATTACGAGAGAACCAAATACCTTTTCATAAGGCAATGGAAAGTTCAAGTGTAGACAGCATAGACGAAGGAGTAATTCAAACTGGAGATGAGGCTGGAGGATCAATGGAGGGGGAAACTATCGAATCTTGAGACTACCACTAGAAAGTGAGCATATGAGGTGGAGAAGCAAGGACAAAGGCTAGAACAATAGGAGGAATAGCAAGAGGATTTGCTGTCAAATTGGCATCAAGAACGGTAGAGGAGGAGAATAAAAGAGTAGTTTCATAATGTGATATCAGCCAAAAAAAAATCTCATTGAACCCGAGAACAGACACAACAATAGCATTTTTGGAGATGTGAGTGACCTAGAAAAACACACTTGAGAGATTTAGTAGAGCTTGTCTTTACCTAGAGTGAAATCGTGGACAAAACAGATACAACCAAGGACACAAAGTGGAATGGAGTAGAGATCCTGGTCAAGATATAAAAAAATAAATGGGAACCTGGTTTTGAAGAACAGAAGAAGGCAGCATGTGGTTGATCAAATAATACATTGTGAGAAGAACATCACCCCAAAAACAAAATAAAACATTATGGTGAAGAAGAGTATGAGCGGTTCCAACTAAATGTCAATTCTTTCGCTCAACAACACTATTTTGCTGTGGTGTGTGTGAGCAAGAGGTTTGATGAATAATTCCCTGGGAAATAAAAAAAGATTGATATTGGAAGACATATATTCATGAACACTATTAGTGCATAAAATTTTAATAGATGAACCAAACACCAAACTGATTTTGAATTTCAAATGAAAAAGTTTGAAATATAAAGAAAACATCAAAATGATTTTTCATCAACAAAAGCTAAGTACGAGAAAAATCATCAAATAAAATAACAAATTAATAATAACCTAAAGTTGAACTATCTCAATTACAATCCTAAATATCAAAGCGAACTAATACAAAGGATGACAAAGCACTTTTGTTGGCGCAATCATTAAAAGTATGTTGGATATATTTTCCTAAATCCTAATTCATGTCTCACAATTAAAAGATTGAAGTTTGGAAAGATGCGGAACCATAAAATGCATTTTATTAAGACTAGGGTGACCTAAGTGTTTATGCTCAAGTGCAGGTGTAGTAGTAGCAGAGACACAAGCAACCAGGGATCAACTCTTTTTGTTGACATTTTCTCCATTTGATCAACTCTTCTTAATGGACCTTTTCTTGATCTTCCCCAAATATAAACCAATTAAAAGATACCAAAACAAATTTCACAAAGCACGAGCCACATGAGGTAGTCATAATTTTAAGATGCTGATAGAAGCTAAAAAAATTTATCCAACAAGTTTCCATATAGGTTTTCCTTATACAAGTATTTATACTATTTCTTTCATTTCAACTGCATCACAGATTCCTAAAACAAACATAACAGGCTTAAATGAAGTACTTATTGCTTAAGTACCCACATGGCAGCATCTGTTTATGAAAAGACATTAACGTCACAAACATGATAGCAAATGAAAAAGAAAGAACATAGTGAGGAAGCTATAAAAAACTTACAGTTACTCCAGCACGAGCAACAAGTTTGTGTGAAACTGTATTAACATCAACACTGTAGAAACGCAATCTACACAAAATCCACATAGATATATCCTTGGTTAAAGAGTAGACAAACCAACTTATATAAACAAAATTTAAACCAAAATATCATAACATAATCAAGCAAGTACATACACAAGGTGAACACACCATGCTTAAAATACAATTAGCTTAACTTATATTACTTAACAGCATCAGAATACTAGTCTATCCACGAGTTTAGTAGCAGCCTAGATTAATTATCATAGTTAGTACACATCTAAATATCAAGCAAGTATAATTATATTGCAGTTGATAGCTGTTTATTTGCTCCGCAGTCAACATTTCTTACATTTTTTATTTAATGCACTAGTAGCATAAAATGAACCACATGTAGACAATATACACAATTTCTCATATACTCTATTTCAACATGGTATTTGAGCATTACCACCCACCATTACTGTATCTATTATGTGTACTGAGTTCATATCTAATTCCATTGTATATTGTTTCTGTTACGAACATGAGAATAGAAATGGAAAGAACAGAAATAGAAGACGGATCTCTCCACCAAGGGTCTCCCCTTCACAAAGGATTTCTCCTTTCACAAAGAGCTAATGCTCAATTTACAAATGATACATTTCTGTATTCGCCTTTCCCTTACATCTTCATCTTATTTATTTATATCACAAACCCCCTCTAACTAACTAATCCCTTCCACTAACTAACTACAATACCTACCACAACAAATTTTCCCTTCCTCACTTCCTTCTCTCCTGACTCCTAATAATCTCAAGGTTGGAATTATGGAAGATCATATATGGCGGCTTTGGTAGTGGTGGACTGGTGGAGGCCTATTTGATTTCTATATAATCCTATTCTGCATGGTTGCTGTATGAATATTTTGATCTTGTTACTCTGGCAGCGTTTACCGGCTATCTGGATTATTTGAAACTTGTAGTTGGTCCATATCTTGTTCCAAAACACTTAAAGTTGAGTAGTTTGTATCACCAAACTTTACAGTTCCCCATGTGTGTTTTGTTTGAATTGTTATAGTAAAACAAATTTCACCTAATGGTTTTTGTGCAAGTAATAGACTGATCCGCTTTCTCTAGTCCCAAATTTTTTTGGGCATCAAAATGTCCTACCCATCCTTGATCACTATGTAATATTTTTCCATCTCAATCCTTCTATTGACACCAAGACATGGCCTAGATTGTGGAGATTGTTGTCTCATGGTAACAAGATCCTTCTACAGTTCTTCTGTTGTCACTCAATCAAATTTGGATTTTGAAAATACTGGTCAATTTCTGCAACTTTACCTTTGACCTCTGGCATGATCTCCTCCATCATCTTCTCAACCTCAACGACTTTCTTTGAATCTTGGTCTTCTTCAACAACCAGCTCCTCATCGCTATTACATTTGATAGGAAACACCTACATCCATGGAAGATTTAGCATTCAGCAGTTCTAAAATTGCCAATGGGCTAACTGGATCTTCCTCCAAGAAAACAAGTCCCTTCTCTGAATTCAAGGATTCCAATAATCTCCTTGTCTTGATCATGTCCAACACTTCAGTGTACTGTTCTGTTTCTGTTTCTGTTTCTTGATCTAACACAGAGATAAGGTGTTCCCCTTTTGTTTCCACCAGTTTGCATCCACCAAAGGCAGCTAACTCCACTTTTCTTTATCAAGAATGAACCTATATATTATCAAAGCATTTTGACCAACTCCTTCTTGACATGTTTGGCTGAATGGGGATCAACCTCCTCTTGAATGGGTTGCTGATTGGTGACCTTTTCCTTCAACATGATGCCTTGTTTCTGCATCCACCTTTCCAGGCATTGCTTGAGCTCTTGTATTTCCTCAAACTTCTTTAATGCAAAGGGCTTTACTTCCTTCTTTTCCTCATCTCTCACTCTTCTCTCCTCAATAATGATTTCTTGACTATTTGATAGCTTGTGCAGCCCATGCTTCAACTCTAAAACATTGGCCTTACAAGAATGATGTTGCAACTTCCAAGAATTACTTGTCTCATTCACAAACACCTTCTTTAATGACCCATCTGGTTCTAGTTTGGTTTCATGTTTCTTCACTAACTGTGTCAACATTCACTTAAGCTCAAATAGATCATTGGTCCACTTCAAGAATGCCATTGAACTCTCTATTTCTTCTTGGTGAGAGACCAAGCAACTTCTTCTCTCAAAATTTGGATCCGGCATGTCAGACCAACTAAGAACCCAAGGATAGAAATGGGAAAGAAAGAAAGATTTTATTTAAATGAATGGAAAGAACAAAGAATAGGAGAGGGATCTCTCCTCCAAGGGTCTCCCCTGCACAAAGGATTCCTCCTTTCACAAAGAGCTAATGCTCAATTTACAAATGATAACAGTTCTGAATTCCCTTTCCGTTACATCTTCATCCTATTTATTTACCTCAAACCCTCTCTAACTAACTAATCCCTTCCACTATCTAACTACAGTAACTATCTCAACTAACATTCCCTTCCCTCTCTCCAAACTCCTACAGTTTCCTTGGTTTTCCCTTTGTTTCTTAGTCAAAATCAGTTCTGAGCACACCCTATACTTGTTTATTGCATGTGATTGCTTCTGTTGCATTTGGATAGGTTGCAGCGTGGTCTGTGGTAATCATATCACTTGCTGCTAGTGAGAGCTACCTGCCCAACGCCCCAACCTAAAAATGTAGTTGGCAATATTCATCAGTCAGCATTGAGGTGGTTCAGGTTTTGGTATTTTTTGGAGTTGAACTCTAGCAGTTATTCATTGTGATAGTTTCATGACTTTGGAAAGGCGTTCTCGTATTTTTTATGAGTTCCCTGGATGTAGCTTTGCTACTTTTGTTTGTGGAAATTTGTTAGGTAACCCCATTAGTAGTTAGTTATAATATGTTAGTTAGAGACTCATTAATAGTTAGTTACAATATATTAGTTAGTAATTGGGCAGGTTGAGATTGTAGAAGACATAAAGCAATTTGCTTCTACAATATGGCAGACAGAGAGGGATCAGTTTGTCAATTGTGAGAGTTAGGGCATTTGGCATGAGGGGAGAAGTATCTTAAAGAACTGCACTTACTGCAGTGCTCTATCCTTGTAATTGGGGTTCATCCCCAATTATACTTAAGAAGATACCCAGTTTCTATCAAGGTTCTTAAATATTATCAGAGATTGTTCTGACATTTAGCTGTAGTTTTCTGTTGAAATGGTTTCGAAGGAGTTGAAGTGCAGCAGTTCTCTGATTAAGTGTCAGTTGAGGTCATTCTTGAAATGTATGTCAAGCAGAAGCTTGAGGAAGGTTAGGGAGAAAAGTCAAAGAACTCTAAGAGACATCTTCCAAGCACATCACCAAAAGACTTGTTATTACCCAGGGAGAGTGCAAGTAGCCTAAGCTCTTCTATTGAGAGTTGAGACTTGAGAGGAGCTGGGATCTTGAAGATCTGGGCATTCTTTACATCATACAATTTAACACATTTGACCAAGTTCAATGGCACCATGTGATCCATGTAGCCGACCTCACTTAGTGGGATAAGGCTTGGTTGTTGTTATTGTCAATCTAACATGCCTACGTTCATGGATTACAAGACCAAATCCAAAGTAAACAACATTACAACCAAATTTTTTAATAGACAAACTGCAAACCTTCTGTCACACTTTTACACAAATAAAGTTTCAAACCATTTTCTACTACAAGCATTACTTCAATATTCTCACGTATATTATTATTTCTTATCATGTTCTTTCTCGTGCGATCTCTTATTCACCTTAACATTTTCAATTTTGCACCTCCCATTTTCTTCTCATGTTGTTTCCTTTAAAGCCCAGCATTCACCACCATATAGGATAGTTGTCTGTATTTTAGTATGATAAAACTTTCCTTTTATCTTAATAGGTATTTTATGGTCACAAATAATTTGTGATGTCTTTCTCCACCTTAACCATCCAACTTATATTTTATGAATAACATCTTCATTAATTTCCTATCATTTTGTAGAATCGATGTTGAATACCTAAACTTGAAAACTTGTGGTATAATATCATTTTCAATTTTAACTTCCAATGCACAATCATCATTTTGTTTTTTGCTAAACTTACAATGCATATACTTTGTCTTACTTCTACTCAAACGAAAATTCTTAGAACAGGAAAGTATCAATAATTGAGAAAACGGGGAGTTTGGGTGAAACCCAACATTCTGCCGTGTGCTTACTTAATTTTACATGTTGCAAGCTTCATAAGTTCGGCTTTAAAATGCTAGTCTAAATTCCTTAGCATATTTAGCACAGGCTGGAATCTTAGTTAACTACACAAGTCCTTGATTAGAACTTGTACTTAATGAACTCATAGTATAAATAAGTTGGATTGGATGTAACCATTACACAATTCCTCCCAAATACTCTCTAGTTCACAAAGAAGCCTAAATAAGAGATTTGTCTTAGGTTTTGCTTGCTACAATATACCATATTAAAACTAGAGAAACTTTTAAATAAATAATGAATGGATGTTAAGGGGTTATAAAGGAAAAGTCTATTATCATGGCCCAATGTAAGTACCAATATGGATTTTCCCTTGGCTCAAGGACATGAGAAGCTTATCTGTAAATAAATGAAACGGTCTGAAATTATTCTAGTTATACATAACAGTCACAACAAAAAAAGAAAAGGAATCTTACCTTGGATAATAGTCTGCTGCTAACTTTTCCAATTTTGGTTTTAAATATATACATTTTCTGCACCAATTTGCCATCCTACAAACCATGATATCTCACCTCAAATTCCACACTTGTAGAAGTATTATTCATCAAATCAAACAGAAAAATGAAAAAATATAAGCTTCTCAATGTAATGGACAAAATAAGACATCCTTCATAAATGCTAGCAACGCAATCTCTCTGACACTCTTTCATGTAAATGGGTTTCCACATCATTTAGTGGGACCTACATCAATTTTACCCAATAAAATAAAGGGTGTGCTGAAAAGATTGTAATGCCAGCATTTCACTAACATATAAATCAGTGTCTAGATCATAACAAGACCTTCATCCAAGTTCGTCACTAGCTGATTTCTAGAAGTTCAAAATGCTCAATGGCAAATTGCTTGAGTTGGTGTACACTAATTTTCAGATAATAATAATAATAATTAAAAAAAAAAAAAACTTGTTGTCTTTAATGACAAAATTTGATGACTTAGACTACAGACATAAAAGTATAAGCATAAGCAACAGTTTGCCTACCTTGAAATACCGCAACAACACAGTTTGATTAACAAATGCACTTAAAACCAAAAAACCTGAATAGTCGTGCTCAATCAAGAGTAGGATATCTTCTATAAAATCAGTATTACAATATGCCAGACTAAAGGGACACCTTGCATCATCATATTCATACATTCCGTTATTTTCCCTTTTAATCAAACATCTCTCTAAATTAGATTGGTAAATACTATTTCCCCCTACAAAGCCCCAATGCCTGAAAATGAAAAGGCAAAAGTTTCAAGAATAGAAAAAGGATCCAAAAATTCATAAATAATAACAATAACAAAAACCGGTAAAACAGGACAATGAGCAAAAGAAACAAAAAAATTTCCATCAGTGTGTGATTTTGTAATATTCGTTCATTTATTTCGATTGTGGAGAAAAAAAGATAGTTCATGACGAAGAAACCTACCAAACGACAACGATGGCGTCGTCGAATTGCTGAGCCTCGAGGAGGACATGATCGAAGTGGGTCTCGCTGGAGATGGGTTGAAGGTAAAGGAAAACAGGCTCTTCCGGTTGCAATGACCCTTGCTGACTCAACGGAACAGCAGGGGTTTGGCGCGCACAGCCAAAGGAAATGGAAATTAACGGAGAGACGGAGGTATGGAGCCCGAAGCTGAAGCGGGAGAGAGAGAATGAATCTAACTTGGTTGTTGGAGCTACCGAGGAGAATGGTGGAGGCTGAAGAGTCCGAAGATGTTGTGACATTTGGTGGCTGCTAAGGAAAACAAAAAACGCAATAGTCCAAAGAGGAGAGCAGGTTTGAGGGGAGAAAGAGTGTGTTAATGGGTCAAACTCAACATAAACACGATGGTAATGGTTTCAGTCTTTGTCAAGGAATAATAAGGAGTGATGGGACGGGTTTTCGTACGCCCACTCCACATGTGTTCTAAAAAAAATGTTTCTAATAGGTCTTTGCCCAGAAATTAAATTTTTGTTATGAAATTATATATTTTTTAACTTTATTTTTATTTTAGTTTTTTTTTAATTTTATTATTTTATATTGTCTCTTCAAGTTTATTGTTTGTTGAGATTTAGAATTTTAAATCTTAATAAATTCTTTTTAATGTTAAAAAAACACAAAAAAAAAAAGAAAAAATGAACCAAACAGCAATAAAAGAGATAAATGGAGAAATATAAATACAAAGAAGAAAAATAAAGGAACATTCAAGAAAAATTTTAAAAATAATAATTCTAAATTCTCACTTTAAGATTTAGAATTTTTTATTTTAGTCTATTAAAGTATGTTATTAAAAAAATTTTATTCTATATATTTTTAAGTACTTTTATAACTTATTTTCATATATTTATCCTTACTTGATAGATATTTAGTAATTATTTTTTATTAATTATTAGAGTTTAGCATGAATCAATTGTCACTAAATTACAAAAGTGTTTTTATTAAAATTGGAGAAAAGTTATTGAAAATTTTGGTCTTACTAGTTGCTAAGCAAGACTATGTTTAGCAACAAGCACAACCATGTTTAATATTTAGCATAAGAGAGTTTCGTTGCCCAGCACAAGTGTGCTTGATGGGTATGTTAGCCCAATACTTCATGCGTCTTCACTTACTGTGTTGGTTGACTTGTGAATGCGTTTAGAAGTAGAGATCATTAGTGAAGACAAAAAATAATTTTCTAAAGTCTAAGCAAGTGATCAAAAATGTGTTTTAGCAACAAGGGTTCTTTTCTTTTTATTCCTTTTGAAATTTTTCTAGTTTGTGTTTCTTTTTTGAATGAATATGATTTTCTTTACATTTATTTTCTTTGCTTATTTCGTTATGTGTAGCTAAATTCATAGTTAAGGATATGGTAGATATTTTGCATACTTTATGTGATCTTTATATTTAATTAAAATTCTGGTTTCCTTTTAAGATTGGTTTTTGCCCTAACGTTTGTATGCTTTTATGTTAGAATTTCGTTACTCTTAGTATCTCATAATTGATTGCAAGATAGGTAACTGTGTCACGTGTAATTAATTGAACTATAAGGTAAATGGGATAGGAAATTAAGTGAATCAAACTTAGTTTTCATCTTTCAATTGGTTATTGAATTAACAAGCCTATAGGTTCTTCATATTTTTCCTCTCTTTCTACCTTACATAACTATTGCAGATGATAGTTTAGGAAAAAGAATATTAATATTGCATGACTATTGAGTGTTAGTAACTTTAGTATGAGTAATTGACAATCGTAAAAAAATTAGGATTAAGATTAACTAAAAGTGAACATAAAGAAATGTGAAAGTGAAGTTGTATGTACTAGGTTTATCTCAAATAGTTTTTCTTGTCAAAAAGTTGTGTTGTGCTATTCTCTTTTCATTACTTTTTAGTTTAAAACTTCCATAAATTTCTCTTATTCTAGTACATATTGTTTTGCCTCAAGTAATTAAATCATGATATTTTTAGTAATTATAAATAATCTTTGTGAAATGATATTTTAGGAATTAAATTTAAGAACCTCTTTATTATTTTTTGACAAGTACACTTATCCATGAACAAGTTATTAGGAAAAAATGAAATATTCACTTAAAATATCTCATCTAAACACTTAGTATCAAGTTGGATTTACCATCTAGTCTCCTTGTGTGATTTAATTATGGATCATCTTATAAAAGATCTTTCCAGTATTTTAAAAATTCTTCTACTTTTAGCACCTTTGTTGTGTTATTTGGTTTTCATGTGTGCTAATTGGACTTAAAGGGCAATAGTCTTGCCCTTCTTTTTCATATTTGATTCATTTATCTCTCACTCATAGATTCTAAGATGCATCAAAAAGGATCTTTAAAATATTTCTGACTTTGTCTTCGTAGTCAAACTCTTTTTCAACAACTTGAAGTCCACTTGTTATAGTTTGGAATATGTCACTCATATGTTTAGCCATCTTAAACATTACATATTAGTGTATGAGCTTGAATACAAATCTTAGTCTTTTCACATAGTTGGTTTAATGAATAAGAGCAATAGCTTCTCACATTTTCTTTATTGACTTGTAGTCATAAACCTTGTCATACTAATTCGTGATAAAATACTTGACTTTTTTATTGAACTATATTTTGTTAGTATGTTTTATTGTCCATCTTTTTTTAAGGATAAATTTACCTTTATCATATAAGTTTATAATCACATTTTACCATGATAAACCAAAGAACATGTTGAGTTAACTAAATGAACAATTTTATTTTCTCTCTAATAAGGATAATCCTTGCCAAAGAAAGATGAAGGATATGAGGAGGAGGCTCTTTACAAAATCAACAATTTCTTTAGATTTATCATATTGTAAGTCATTTCTGTTACACTAGAAGATGTTCAACTTAGAGGTTAAGGTCTAATACTAACTGTAAAAACATATAAATACAGAAGATCAAATCATTTGAATTAAATGTTAGAAAAATGTGAAATTTTCTTGCAAGGATAGATTATACAAAAGAAAGGTAAAAAGATTTTTAAAAAGGATTAGTTGATGGATCAAACATTTTAGAGAAAACTAAAGAACTTGCATAATTTTAGATATAGAACATGTTTCTTAAATAACATAAGCCATGAGTCAACCTAGTTAGAGAAAAATAAGAAAAGACACCAAATACAAGAATATAAGAATACATGAAGAATACAAGAACACAAGTCATGAATCAAACAAGACCATAGTCCAAATAATTACTAATAATGCTACTGTTTGCAAGGCTATAGGTTCAATTGTTGAATTTATTTGTCCCTATATATTTTGGACACCTTGTATAGTGCACACATTAAATCTTGCTCTCGAGGATATTTGTGTTCCAAAATATATATCAAGCAACGAGCTTGTTTATGGTGAGTGTCATTAGATTTCTACTATTGTTGATGACAATTTCATTATTAGAAATTTTATTATGAACCATTTAATGAGGCTAACAATGTATGATCAGTTTGTGCATATGAAGTTATTAGCCATTGATGAGACTATATTCACCTCAATTGTTGTGATGTCAAAAAGAATGAGAATCATTTAGCATGATCTTCAATTCATAGTAATTAACGAACAATGATTGCAATATAGAATGAATAAAATTCAAAATGCTACATTTGTAAAGGAAACAAACCTTTGGTAAGATCAAATTGAATATATTTTAAGCTTTACAGAGTCAATATATGATATGCTTCATTTTTGTGATATTAATAAGTCAAGCCTTCATCTAGATTATGATAAATGGAACTTTATGATTGAGCAAGTAAAAGTAGAAATATATCAACATGAAGAAAAGGAATTGACTCAATATTTATCTTTTCATGAAGTGGTATACAATAGGGTTGTCAAAATAGGTTTGCTTCGACGGGCTGACCCACTTAACTCACCAAAATTGGTGGGCTAAGCTGAGTGATTTAGATCCAATGGCCCACATAGCCTACCTTGTTTTGACCCGCCAAAATGAGGGCTAATGGTGGGCCGGGACAGGCTGGCCCATTGGACCCATTTTTTAATTTCAAAATTTTAAAAATAATTAAATTTTAATTTTTATTAATATAATTTTTTTTTATTTTTTTGGTTACTTTTTGGTGGGTTGGCCTATTAATTTAATGGTCCACCAACCTTTTTTTATTTTTTGGTTTTTGGCGAGCTGGCCTATTAGCCCACTTTTAAATGGGTCGAGCTAGAAAATCTATCCCATTTTTTAAACAGGACGGGCTCGAGTTAGCCCATTTTTGGATAGGCTTCTGACGGGCTGAGACAGGCTAGGGTGGGCTGGCCCGTTTTGCCATTCCTAGTGTACAACATCTTAATTGATATATGGACTAAAAGTTGCACACCGCTTCATTGTTTGGTCATACACTTAATCCTAAGTAAATTTAATTAATTTAGAAGGTCTAATTTATTTAACTTTTTATTTCAAGTTTTAATTAGGTTAACCTTATAATTTATGTGTCTTTATAATAAGAAGAAATAAATGTTTGAAAAAGTACTTTATAGATTCAAAGGATTGAAGTTACTACAAAGTTTGTTAAATTCTCAAGTGTCACATAAGAACTTAGCTAATTTAATTTTTTGCAAAATAGATATAACTTGCAACCAAAGGAATCACGAATTATGTATGGAGTTGCAATTCCTAAACTTCAATCCAATGCCTTGAAGCTCCTTTCCTAACCATATTCTTCTTGTTGCTGTGAGAGAAATTTGAGTACATATTCTTTTTATCCACTCCTTGAAAAGAAATAAGCTTAATATAAAGAGAGCTAAAAAATTAGTCTTAATTTAACAAATCTTTATCTTCTTTCAAGAAAGCATAAAAATTATAATGAGGGTTAAAAAAAAATGTGAGATGTTGATAAAGATGAATGAGATCTATTTGAAAGAATTAATATTTTTAAAGTTGCTATCTTTCTTTTGATGAACTAGATTAAGAGGTTGTTCTTTTCATCAATAATTAGTCAAGAAATAATGATATTGAGACAATTATAATTTTTTTATTTTAAAACATTTTATTATTATTCATAAGAATTTCAAAATTTTTTAGGATATGTATTATGAATAAATTTGTGATTTTATTTTTTATATAATATTTTATATATATATATTCAAGGTGTTTTGCACGTGAATACACTTTCCTTTATCCTTAAGCGTGTGTTTTGCACTTCCAAAACACAAGGTGTGACATAATAATTTTTACAAAATGATAGATTTGCCTATAATCTCTTCTGCACCAAAAATAAGAGAAATGAATTTTTAAATGACTTAAGAAGATGAGAATTTAGTGTATTATACTGGGAGAATGTCTTATTTACAGACACTCTGTGACTATTTATGAAGAGTCGCATTAATTAATATTGATTCATGAAAAGTCACATTATTTCAACTAATATCTATTCTATGAATAATTATACCTTTTCACTTTGTGTTTTATATTAAAAGTCACTTCTATTCTAATTTATATTCTTATGAATAGATATAATTTCAATTGTATTTGTTCATATATGAACAGTGACTTTTTTTTTTCACTTAATGCCTATTCATATAAATATCCATCCTTTGATCCACGCATTCACTTGAAACATTATAACTATTTGATTGAAATAAAATAACTTTTTAATTTGAATGAAATAAAATAACTTTTTAATTTGAATGAAATAAAATAACTCTTCATCATAAAACAAAACAATTTTTCATTTGAATGAATTAATGCAACTTTTCATGTTTTCAAATTTGTTTCACACGATTTTTAATGTTTATTAATTTCTACTAAAAAAATTTTATTTGTTGATTATTTAATAGTTTAGTAGTGAATAAAATATTTTTTTCTTATCTCAAATTTTGATAAACGTTAACAATACACTTTTTAGACTTCACTCTCTAGAATAAAAATATATGTACAAATGAGAAGTGAATCATTTTTCACTTTATTTTAAAGATAGTAAAATATAATAAATGTTTAAATTTAAATTAAAGGTAGATATAAGTTCACTTTTTCACTTTATATTTCTCTTCACTTTAAAAAAATTAAATTTACATTTTTTAATACCGTCTTTTAATATTATTATTTGTATTAAAAATTTGTTGGAAATGCAAAAGACAAAAAATATAGATTCCATCCATATTTAGACTCTCACTCATAAATTTTACAAATCCTAATAATAAAAAGAGAGTTTTGTTTTTTTATACATAGATAAAGGTGTTATTAGCATATTTTTCTTCATTTATAACAAACATAAGAAAGAAGTAAAGGTTACCTACTAATTATTCTAACCTTGTTATCCAATGTTCGTTTTTTAAGCACTTTTTTCCATTTAATTTACTGTACCTAAGAATCCAGCCTGCTATTACATTGCTGAGTAAACCCAAGCAGGTTTGATGCCAAAAAGTATGCAACATCCTGTTGATTCAAGTTTATTTAATGTATTTTTGGGCATAAAAAAATAGAGTTCATTTGATGTGTTTAATAATGGTAACAAGTATGTTGATATGTCTGCTCATGGCAATTGGGTTAATGGGCTTTCGAGCATGCATTCTACTCAAAGCACAAACATGTTTAATTGGTGGATGATTGACTCAAGACCTGAATATTCAGGTTTTGTCTATTTACATGGTGGAACTCACTTTTCCTTTTGATATTGGCGCTTTTATAGGAGGCAAAGTTGAATCTTGTTAACCTACTAATGGGGAAAGATGTTATTTTCTATTTTATTTACCAAATAATAGCTTAGGGAAGCCTTGCTCTTTTTTCGGTCGAAATAACTTAGCAAATTCTTAATTTATTTAAATTATTGTTCTAAGGCATGTATAGATATTTAATTATAAATAAAATAAAATAGAATAAGCCAAAGGAAAATTGAGAAGTATGAAATAGAACGAAATAAAATTAATATTTTGTTGTCTGTCATTTTTCGGCAGAATAGAGTAAAATATTATCTTTGTTAGAAAAGTGATATGAAAATAAAAAACAAATAAGTTGATTTTATTTCATTTCATCCTATGCTCTCCAAGTTGGAATGGGAAGAGAGAAAATAAAAATATTAGCTGAAATAAAATATATTTCATCAAATTGTAATTTTTTACCGTCTTTTAAAACAAATTCAATCAGTGTAAAAAGACTCCATTTCATTCCATTATGTATATTTGCATTAATCCTTAAGAACAATTGAAAACAATACTGTTAATTATTGAAGCGTTTTTAATTTTTTAAAATTAAAATTTAATGACGTGAATTCTTATCCTTGCATACGTACATTAGAGCTCTCACAGGCTACGTCTATCTAGCATTTTGCGATTTAATTTAATGTGTTCACCAATTTCACAATGGGCAACCACAACTCAATGGATGAGACAATAATTTTAGGACATGAAATCTATTTCTTCTTTGCAACGGCCATGTCTTTATTGTGCATAAAATACGAAAAGAGAACAAGGAAACAAAGCAAAATCAAGGAAATACTATGAGCTACACCTAGCAAGTGTAGAGCGTTTCAAGAGAAGGGACGAGATAGCATCGTTTAAACCATGGTCAAGAAGAAAAATATTATTCTAATGCAAACACGCATTCATAAATTCCTCATTCATTGTTAATTGCCTCTTGAAATGGTAACTGGGGTCCTAAATCATTCTCCAATTCTACAAAATCTCCCTTAATAAAACTCATTTGATCTAAGTTTCCTTTCTCTTAGTTTGTTCTCTACCACACACTATGTATGATTAACTTGCCCATGCATCAAAGATAAGCAAAATTTATGTATATGATACGGAAACAAAATCAGAATAACCACAATATGACAAAATGGGGAATCAACTACCAAAGAAAAATGAGTCAACTATTGGGATGAGAAATAAAAATATGTAGAATTATAGGAGCAGTAGACTTTGGTTGCTATATGTCTCAGTCCAATATTTAAGCCGCAAAATCTCATCCAAACAACTGCTGAATAATCTCGGAGAGGGCTGAGTATGATCCAAAACCACATGATATAACTCCTACTATAATAATTGTAGCACAAAGCGCTATCTGTAGAAATAAAGGGGTAAAGGTCAAGTCACATTGGAGATCATCATAAATAAAGAACAAGTAATACTGAAATGATTTGGTGTGTATTTGGTTCAGCTTATATTGAAGAAATAATTGCTTATTTTAGCCAGCTTCTGGAAAGAGCTTTTGCAAATAAGGAATTATTTCTCCAAATTTAAGTGTTTGCAAACATGCACTTGCTCCTATAATAAAAGAGCAATGCTATATAGTAAGAAATTACTTTTCACGAATACGGTACAAACGCATGTGTCTACCATTAATTGGCCAATATCAAATTAAAAAAAAAGAAGAAGAAGAAGAAAGATTTTTGACAGAAATCAATGGCAGTCATTACATTTACAGTTTTCAAATAATAATGAACTCGTAGTATTAAGCATTTTCCATAATAAAAACATCTTGTGGTCTAGCACTGCTACATAATCCAAGTGCATATCCTGTTTCCAAGTTGCAGTGATATGAGCACAGCATATTACAATTCAAAATGCCTTAATTCATTTTCCTTTGTATACTTTGAGTTGTATTGAATCAACATGGTATGTTTAAGGTTTAGGGTTTAGCCTTGAGTAGTTCACTTAAATTGTGCCAATATTATGTTCCCATATTCAATAATTCCTACACCTAAGGATCAAATTATGTAAATCCCCCTTAATGGTGAAAAAGTTTTCACATTCATCTGGACAAACTAAATGGCTATATTGTAACATTGCAGGGATGTTTTGTTTAGTATACTTGGCTGCTGAAAGGTAGTTTCTTGGATTAACAAAATGTGCACAAATTTCTGACTCGCATTGAGTATTATTATGAAAAGGTAATCATCATACCTGAGAGCGTGAGATTCGGTCACCCCTGATACTTAGGAAACATGCTGCGGGAAGAATCAAGGACTGTATCCAAAGTTGTACATAGTTAAATGAATGCTATGGCTATAGTACCTCTAGGAGATTAAAAGGATGAGCTAAAGGGAACTTACAACAAACATTGTGAGTAAAGATCCAGTCAATGACATCACCAAACCTGCAACAAAAGTATATGCACTTCATTAAAACATAATCCAACTATGCAACAGCTAAATAACTTAGCAAAGTAAATAGGTTAATGAAATTTGTCGGAGCAGGGTAACAGACCATAGAAAAAGGAAAATATTAACAACAATGCTTCGGGTTAAGGTTGATTTTGAACAACTAAAAATGGTAAGTTTTATTGAAAATAAATATTTATTATGTCAAGAATATAAAAATGTAATAATGTTATTTTTTTCAATTAAAAAAGTGTACTATTTTAGATTTTTAAAACCAACCCTTGAGATTGAAGTTACTAGGTGAGAGGATGGGAGTCAGAACTTTGAAAACTTGGTTCAAAAAATTTGCATAAATAAAATAATTGAAAGTCATTCTTAATTCTACCATATTTCCCTCTTATATGTTTGATTTATATTTAGTTTTTGAGTTAGTAAGGCATAATATTGAGGCAGTTTCCTTAGCACCAAAACCAAAATAGATCCTTTCATGTTGAAATTTCACATGACAAGGTCGTGTGTAAGTTTTGTGTCTCTCTCTTGATGGACATTAAATAAACGGGACCCTATAAAATTAACAAGGAGAGAGATTGATAAAAAACTTGCAGGTGACATATCATGTCACAACTTCCACAAAAACTGATCAAATATGAGTAGAGAATAAAAAATAACTCACCGAAAAAGGGAACTGAAAGACCAACAAGAAGGGTAGAAACCACTAGCGCTGTTCTGATTAGCATGGAATATAAGTAAAACTTGGGATTGTTTGCTGGTATCAACTCCTCTAGACACATTGCTACTGGAGATAGACTCAAAGCATATGTGGGGCTAATTAAGAAAAACATCCAACTCCTCATCTTCAAGGTGTTAGGTACAAATAGATTGAGATAAATTAATTCTATCATTTTCAAGATTAAAAGTGTACTAAATGAAGAGAAGAAAGCAAGAGAAATTTCAGGACATATAAAATGTGTACTTTAGGAATATTGTTAGGATGTCCTTATGAACTGTATGTTCTATTAACATCAATTAAAAATTTTAGCTTCTTATAGAGGAGACATTACAATAACAGAGGTGAAAAAACAAAATCCAGGCATAAAAGATCATTAAAAATACAATTAAATTTCGTTGATGGTCATTTCTATTTTCAACTGATGTCATTGATTACTTTCTGGTCCTCTCATTGACTCTATTCGTATAGAAGTGCTCAACGAAAAAATTGCTATAAATTCATTTCAGTGAAATAATTTCACCACCTTAAATTGTTTGTAAATAAAAAGGAACAAAAAGAAAAGCATACAGGGCTTTTATCAGACCTCTTTTAAATTTTTCAAAAAACAAAAAACATGTCGATGAGAAACATTCTTGATTTTGTAGCATTACTTATTTACCTAGTGCAAAATTGAAGGATTGGGCTAGTGCCTACAAGTTTGCTGCTCTTTGAAATATTTTTATTTATGACACAAATTATGGCTATATATTGTCTCTCTTATATTTCACTGCCGTTAAGATGTTAGGGTTATTAGGCTTGAACTTAAATTAGTAGTTGGGCGAATTATTTAGGTAAGCAAGCACAAATGCATTTATATGGCGCATATAAAAGGATATTTGGTAAATGGATTGACCACCTGCAAAATAGCACATGATAATAAAAGATTAGCAATTTATATGACTTATAAAATATCAATAATATGGTGATACAGATTGGGTTAAAAACTCAAACTAGTTAAAAGAATAGTAATCCAGTTGGAACCAAAAAACTAGTTTCCCCCACCCCTTGCTCAAATTACTAGTTCGTAGTTTGGTAAAATTCCCTATTGTACCTATGGTGGGGATTGCTGTACTATTTCCTCTTCATTCTCGGTCACGAAGCAAATGACAATTAATAGTAGCAATTTGATGGGGCACTGGGTAAACCCATTAGAAATACAAATCTTAAATGTTTGAATGGTTTGATTTGCTTGCTTGATCAATTGTAACAAGAATCAACTATTCATAAAGAGGATTCTTTTGTTAAAAACTAGTTAAAAATTTATAGCTTTAACTTATAGCTGTTAAGCTATCTCTGCAAGCTTATAACTAGATTGAATTAGAACTATTTAGTAAAATTGGTTGTACAATTAGGTGAAATGTGTTAAATAACTAAAAAAAGTTGGTTAGTTATTTTGTGAGTGTAAATTATTTAAAAGGTTAAAAAGATAAAAAGGACAAAAAAAATATAATATTGGTTGCTAGTTTTCAACTAGTAAAGCCTGATGGGCATAAGCATAGTTCATTAAGAAATATATACACTACAATAGAATTTAGAATGTGCATACCGTAGTCCACACAGCAATCTTAGCGGCCACCAAGTGTTTGGGCAAGTTAAGAGTATACTGAGAGAGTGTTCCTTCCCCAAACATTGAGTAACCCATAATAGCTACAGCACAATACATAGCTGTACAAATAGCAAAACTACATGGAAAAAGAATTGCACATGAAATTAGATAAATTCCGAAACAGATTATACCGAATTAAGAGGCTTTCAATTTCAAAATATATTTCCTATTTTTATTTTCTGTTTTCAGATTTAATTACAAAACTATTACATTTTTTTATTTATTTTGTTTCCTAGTTTCAAATACTTGTATAAGAAATATTGATATGAACTTTTTTATATTGGGTTTGCCAATTATATCATATTCCAACCCTTCTTTTAGCAAAGAGTATTTTAGTATCTGTATCCTCACATTTTAAAACAAAAAATTCACACTACATTTAAATGCACCAACAAGATTTAATGGGTATCCAGGTCAATCACTTAATTTAACTAATAAATTTTACAAACACGTTTTTGTTTACCATGTTAAGAGCACTGCAGGGAATTGTTTCCGATTTGCCATGGCAGTATAGAGGTTTGGGAACACAGCATGCCCTGCGTAGCAGTAACCATAGAGACCCATAGCAACAGGAAAAGTTGTAAGTTTGAATGTTGTTGTTCCTTGGGTCTGAATGTCAACTTTGTCTACCAAGCAAACCCAGAACAAGCAGAGAACCACCAAAATCGTTGCAATAACTCCACAAGCTAGAACAGCAATGTTAAAAATTTAGGGTTATAGTGGTCTTTCCAAACGAATGATAACAATGTGAAATGTGATTGCTGAGTGCCACAAAAGCACAGGCAAATGTGAAATGTGATTTCTACGTACTAATAATGTTATATTTACAACAGTGGTAATGAGTAATGAGATTTGAACTTCATGCAACCTACCTAAATTCTTCATCATAAATTTAATCTTAATGGATTTACATGTAGAAATGACTAGTTAGCATTGGATTGCAAAAGAAAAAGATTGTACCTGAGATGTAACTGAGAATGCGCAGGTCACGGAGCCAAACTGTAGGAAGAAGAGCCACAGTGGTGAGTAACGCAAACAAAATGTGTGAATTGAATTCAATTCCACCCAAACTAAGGTGTAGATTTGGAAATAATGAGGACAAGTTGTCGCTCTCCACAATTATGTATTCAATGCAACAAGCCTGCATGAAAAACAAAATTAATAGATCAAGTGTGAAAAAATACCTATTCTTTTGCATTAACAAATAACAATATGTGAGACTTCTAAGGAATACTCAGAGAGTTAAGACAGAGATGTACTTACATATAATTCCATGTATAAGATTATCTGCATCAACAAAAATGAAAAATTGAGACACATTTTTAAAATTAATATTTTTTAACACTTGTTACACGTGTTGAATATTCTTTCTTAGATGTTTAATTGAAAAATTAATTTTGTTAGTTTGGAAACTTGAGCCAAATACCTTTATATGATTTTAACACTTGAATTGTTACTTTAATACATACTAATATTATTAGAAAATATATTTTTAATGTTTTTAAATGTTAGCTTAAATTTTTAACTTCCCATATAAAATATTTTTTTGACGTGTGTTCGTGGTACACATTTAAAAATTAGTTATAAAAAACAACCATACATTTATTGAAAATATAATGCACAAAATAAAAAATTAATAAATAATTTTTTTATTAGAAATGGTAACATTTAATGCTATGAATACATTGTATTTTGTATGTTTTTGTAATTTTTAATAGAAATTTACTGATGTTTAAACAATTATTAATATTTTGTAATAACTATAAAAAATAAAAAATTATTTTAAAATATATTAATTGTATAATTTTTTTTATATTTTTATTTTTTATAAGATTTATATCAATGAAAAACTCGTTTATTATTATTATATAAGTAATATATTCATTAATTTAATATATAAACTATTAATTTGACCATTTAATATTATTAGTACCTTTAAAATATAATATTAATTTATGACATATAATTATATTTTATTAATTTGAATATTAATTATTTTTTATAGTAACTTTTAAAATTGATTTTAATATTGAAGAGGTGGAGGTAGACTAGACTTACAGAAATGATAACACGGCCAGTAGTACCAAAAGCTGCTTGGCCTATGTCAGGATAAGTCTCAAGGTCAGACCCACTGTCCAAGCAGTAACGCAAGAGCAACCCTGTATAAAAGGCAAACACTGCATATACTAGCAAGATTGAAAGACCAGCCCACCCTCCTTCTTTAAGGGCATATGGGGTTGAAAGGATTCCCACTCCACAAAGGGCATTTATCCCTGCAAAGTGCAAACATAGCTCACATTATCAAATCTTCATTTATCCACAGCACCAATCAACTTTCACATGTACAAGGTTCCACTACTCACCATTAAGTACAGCTTGTCCATAAGTGCACTGCCCAGGAATGTGAGCTTCATGAGAAACCTTTGAAACCTCTTTCCTAATTGAAGGCTTCCTAGTAGGATGTGGAGGAAGCAAGGCATGATTGCTCTGTTGCTCATCTGCTGTGGGTTGCAAGAGTGGTTTTCTCACTGGTGATCCTACTTCAAGAGTGTGCCTCCTTGTCAAATTTGAAGAGAAAAAAGAACTTCCAAGTCTTGACAGTGATGTGGGCCCCAGAAATCCAATATTTGGTGAAGGTACACTCCCATATAGATCAATGGATTGCCTGAGACATTTATTTCATAACACTTACTATTTAGGTTGATGTACTTGACTTAGGGGACAGGACACTAACTTGTACTAGTATGTCAAATAGGGCCATGTATAAAAAGTTGTATAGTTTTTGTATGAAAATGATATCTTTGTCCCCTGCGTTTTGTAATAAAAAAACTCACAGATGGCAACAAAAACTGAAATTCAACCAGCAAGGGTGATGAAACAAAGAGACTGATTCTGTTTTCACTTTTCATCATTTCAGAAAGTAAATTAATTAATAAAAAACTGATTTAATCAAAAAGTAATCGTAATAAAATAAATGATTAAGATTTGTCTCACATTAATACCCAAGATCAATAGGAAGGAAGAGCTTTTGGAACAGAAGTTATAATTTAAAAATCATGCTAAAATAAATTAAAAATTAAAATGCTTATTTGCAAAAAGGAAAGAAAAAACATCAAGTCTAAGGTGTAGATGCTGTGTACACTTTTTCCTCAAATTAACTCTAGACCAAAATAAGCATAAATGCTTTCCTATGATGTATTAAAAAATAAAAATCAATTAGCCACTTTTCCTAAAAATAAATAATCTTCTTCACAAAACGAAAATGAAAGAAAAAAAATGCTAACAGGTATCTTTAAAATGTGATTTAAAACATAAAATTTTTTTATTAAAAAAATATAATAATATGTTTATTTTCCTGATTCCTAATACATTTTAACATTATTTTATTAAAAAATATTATTTATTGATTTCATAACTGATGTGATCTCCTAACAGACAAAAAAAAAAAAAAAAAAAAAGATTGAGCCAATGAATGGCAGAAGCATACTCTTCATTCCAGATCAAAGAACATAAGATAGAAGGTATTGACCTGTAACTCTGGGGCCATGCAATGTTGTAACTACTGGGTTTTCTCATTGACTGGTTTTCATTGGTGTCATTGGAATAATCCGAATCGTTTCCTTCATGTTCGTCTCTGTGCAGCTCCTTCTCCACATCGTCATCACTCTCGTAGATAAAACTTTGATCTGAAGCAGAGTTATTCATCTTCTTTCAATCTCAGCCAATTACACTATCCAATAGTCCCCTATTTCTCTGTACAATTCACAAGGATTATTAATTCAGCAGCATAAAATTAACACAAAAACTGAATGACCCAGAATAACAAATCACAAATCAAATCACAAAATCATTTTAAAAACAGTAAAAAAACGGTCACTCGCGAATGAGATCAGAGAAAACAGCAGCACATGCAGGATTTTCGGGCTTCAGAGTTTTCTTAGCAAAACTTACAATTTAAAATCTGCGTGGATCAAAATGCCACTGGAAAAAATGAAAATGCAGAAGGAATAAAAATACCCAATTCTTATCATTCCATTTTGAAAATAAATGGAAACTTAAAGTGGGTAGGACCCAAATGGAATTAAAATCTGAAACCTCTCCTTATAAGGATGTAATCATGTGACAGATCAGATGCAAAGAAAGACAGAAAATTTTAAAAATAAAGAAAGCTAGTTTTTGTATTTTCTAGTGCTATTATCGTGCATGCTAGTCTCTATAGTTTAAACCAAAAAGGAAATGAGAAAAGAAACAAACAAAAGCGAACCAAATCACGCAAAAGGGTGTTCAGACCAATGAGAAACAATGAGCTTCAAGCAAAAGGGTGTTCAGATCAATGAAAAACAGCGAGCTTCACCTTTATAATGACCTTTGTTTTATCTATGTAAGGACACTAACGTCTCTGCCAGGTTTTCTTCTCTGGCAACGTTGAAACGTGAACATTCACAGAAACTTATCTAGTGTACTGGTTTTTTGTTTTTATGTCCATATCAAGTGGAACATGAGAATAAAACAGAATAGTAAATCTTTAACCGTACATTATCTAATGTTATATGGCCATTCATTCATGCTGTTGGAATTTTGCATGTGGCAATCACGTGGTTGGATTCATTGCATCATGGTTTCGTGTTTCCAAAGATTTGATTTTGAAGTAGTATATCATATGCAGAGTTTTATTTTCATGAAGCATGTGTGCATGTGGTGGACCACAAGTGATCACCAATCATTGGCATGAAAATTTTGTAATAAATTTTTGCAGAGCAATGTGCTGTACTCTTCAAAAGAATAATTATAAATCCTTCTGCATTTTATTAAAAATATAATAATTTACTCATTTTATGACCTTTAAAATAATTATAACATATTTTTAATAAAAACTAATATTAAGTTAAATTTATTCTTTAAAATAAAAAAGCTTCAAATTTATTATATGACTATTTTACAAATTTTATTTTTTTTAGAAAATATCATAATTATTATTAATAAATAATCTATTATATAAAATAAAATTATAATTGAATTGTTAAAAATATATTTCAAATTAAATTATATTAAAAAAATCAATAGTTAGTCTAATAAAAACTTGCTACCCTAACAAAAAGAAAAAAAATTAATCTTTAAAAATCTCTTATTTGATAATATTCATAAAAATATCTTCAACACTCTTTTTCATGAGTACAAATGTGTGCAATTGTTATGACCAAAATCGAAACTAATCGACAACTAAAAATAATATTTATGAACTTAAATTTAATGGAATTGTTACTACTTTTATTTAATTAAAAAAATATGAAAAACTAACCTTTGTGCCTGTTAACAGAAGATTGATTCTCGTTCTCCTGCTTCTGGTTCCTCACTCTGCAATCTGCGGTTTTCTATCTCTTTTTTATGTTAAGAATTCTTTTTATACCTCTCAATTATAATTAGTCCCCTTTTATAACAAAGGTCTATCTCTTATTTCCCCTTAAATTTTGAATAATATAGATAATATTTTTATTTTATATAACAACTGTTATTGTTTCAATTTTTTTAGATAATAACTTTAACTTTTAATCAAATTTTTTGTTTTCTTAATCACTTTAAATTTGAATTTCACTCGTTTTTCCTTTATTTTTATAATTTTGAATTAATTTATCCATTATTATTGTTATTATTATGGTCAAAATATACTCTCATTTTCCTTTATGAATTTTCATATGTAGAATCACTAAATCTAAACAAATTTTCTCTTTTATCTCTAGGTCTTAAATAAAGGTGCTTTTATGAGTTATTCTCTTTCTTATTATGTCATATGATGTCTCCTCAATTGTGCATTTATTTTTTTAAGAAAGTTAATATTAATTTGAATTTTCAATTTTCTATTTGTAAAAATATAATAAAATATTTATAATTAATTATAAATAATAAGGTTTAAAATAATCATACAATATATACAATTTATATTCTAGTTTTAAAAAAATTTGTTAATTGATTTTTTATTATATCCCTTACCTCATTAATTAACTCTACCAAAAAAGTTTATCAGTTAACTATTAAAAGGATAAAATTTAAACAGCTAAGAACAAGATTCACATGTGAGGAATTTAAGTCAATTTCGTCTCTAGCACAATCAAACTTTCTTGCAGCGCAAATCATACTAACATGTCCCACGCGACACAGATTATTCAGATTCTCTTTGACTTTTTTTTTTTTCATGGCACCCTTTCTTTTCTTTCAACTTCAATTACATTAGATTAGATAGCTCCCCACATATTTCTAGTAATATTCAACCAACACAACAAAACTTTTATATAGTTGTTAATTTTTTATATATTTTTATTTTTATTGTGTTCATCAAGTTAATAAAACAATGTCTTATGTTAAAAATTAATAATTTAAAAAACATTTGAAAATATTTTATTTGATATTATCAATATATTTTTATCTCAATTTTTAATAAAATTTTTATTGTTAGATTTTAATCATTATTTTAAAAATAAAGTTTGATAAAATTGAAAAGATAATAAATATATGATGTTCATTTACCTTGTAGTTTTTTTAAGTAGATACTATGTTTTAGAAAAGAAAAAAACTATATAAAATAAAAATAATAAATTTAATAAGTAATATTGCAAAAACAATTTTTTAGTAAATATTTAAAATAATATATATAATAAATAATGAATCTGAGATAATACAATTAAAATCTACAAGAAAATTCATGAGACAAAATAGATATAAATTATTATTATTATTATTATTATTATTATTGAATTTTATCATTAATTTGGACAGAACATTAATATACACCAAAAAATTATAAAAAAAAATTATTTGATAACTAATCTTTTAAAGTGTGTATATAATAATAAAATAATTTTTATGTAAAAATTATAATATTAATACAATATAAAATTTTATTATCTGTTTAATTTTGAAAAATTGTATATCAAATTAACTCATTCTTAGATGCGGAAGAAGATGTATCACTTCTTGTCTCACCCTCGCTGTCTTCTGTCATCGCTCTTATAATATCCCTGCCAACACCCAATAATCATTATTAATTTCCGTTGAATTTTAAAATATTAATTTCTCGCCAAGGCTGTGCCACGTATCACATCTGTCCTTAGTTATTTATTTATTTTTAAAAAAATACTATTTCATTTTTAGTAGGGAAGAAATTTAACAAAATTTCAACACATAACTTAATCTTCTAATTTCATTTTTTTAAAAAATAATTTAAATTAAAAGAACAAAAAAAAAATAATTTAAATTTCATCTTTTGCATGAACAAAATCAATGATGATGTAAAAAAAAAAAAACTCTTAACAGAGAAATTATGTCAAAAACTATTATTTTAATAATTTATTTTTAAATAAATATTAAAAACATAAAAAAGCCATTATGATCTCTATCATCATTATCACCAGCAACATGACTGGGTTGAATGTAAAACTGTGTATAAATCCTAAATTCATTTTATAAATATTGTTTTTTAAAAATTAAAATACAATATGCTTTAAATAAATAGGTTGGGTAGATTAATGGCTGAATAAGATCATAATTTATTAGTTTGTCAAATAAACACGTAATAAAATATCATATTCAAGTTAACAAAATGGACAAGTGTATGAAAAATGGGTAATATAAACCTTGCCTATCGCCATTCTATTTCGTATGATAGTGAAACAGCAATTCTAGTACATATTATCGGCTGAAACACTTTCTTTTTTCAATATAAAAGAGTTGAAATTAAATATGCACTAGCTACCAAGAAAAGCATAATGAATACAGCTAAGAATCAAATAAAAGAAAAACCAGCAGAATAAGTATAGAGAACCATATCACTTTTTTTGGTCTGAAAAATCTAACTGCACATAATCCAGCGTAATCATTTTCAGCTGGACATAAACTAGGCAAATCCATCAGACTTGAGATATTGATATCTATTTTACTTTGCCAAAGTTTTAGAATTGAGCCGGCATCTCTTCTGTGAGTCTTGGGTTGCAAAAGTGCCTAGATGACTTTGGTTTCTCTTTTTAAGTTTCAGAGCCGGAAAGGCTTCGGCTTCTCTCTTTAGTTGGGTAAGATCAAGGCCACTCATAACATCTCTATAGTTGAAGAATCTCATCAAAGATTCCCCTTCTATGCTGGGGGATATTTATTTAGCAATGAGCATATGACATGTTCTCCGAGGAAAGTAAACTCTCAATCTCTCGTTCAAGAATAACTGGGCATCAATTGGAAAGGCAGTCATAGAAACTGAATTCTAACTCAAGAAACCTTAGATGTTATTGCTGCAGTTTATGTAACATGCAGTTGGAAATAGCTACATACCCACCCAAGAGGATACAACATTAGGCAACAAAATAAGGAAAACTTGATTATCAAAACTATAATTGCCATGGAATTCTTTTCATTACTGGAATCTTTAACTACATTGTCAAAGAACATAGCAAACAGGGGAGTGCCACTAAACAGGTGAAGGTGATAATTGATTAATAACAAGATTCAGACCTCATCCTCATGAAGAAGCATATTTGGAATGCCCTTGTTAACAGGAAAGCGTCGTCCAGTCTCAGGGCAAATAAGGGCACCCTCTTCAAGGTGGAGTTCCAAAAGGGCATGGTGAAACCTGTTCAGAAATTCATCGGAATCCAGCATGGAAGAATCAGCCTCCTCAGGTAGCTCACTATATCCCATTGTCCGTGATGCATCCACAAAAGCCTTCCAATCAATCTTCTCAAACATCTTTCTTAGAAACTCACCATTCATTTCTACATTCTTTTCCACCACTTTCTCAGCTTCAATGCGCAGGGGGAATCCATTTACCACACCCTTTATGTTTGATGACAGCATATTGTGTGTTAGCAGCCTCATTTTTCCCAACAATTCACAGTATCAGGAGCAGCACCTACAAGTTCAAAAAACAAACAAACAACACAAGTTTACAGCTCAAACATCCGTACAATACATAACACATTTATTCCAATTAAGTTTGTGTTAGGTTGCAGTTGACACTTCATGGTGTCTGAGCATGTCATACCTCCAGGCAAAATCAATGCAATTGTAACCAAGATTCTTGAACAAAATACAACTGAAAACTATCGAATCAACGTGTTTAAAATCTAAACATTAAGTCAAGTTACAACATCAACATAAACATCAATTTCTAAAACAAAAGTAGAACTAGAATATAGTTACAAGGGCATACCTAATCAAACCATTTAAGGTGTATGAACAGAATGTTGATGCTTAAAGCAACAACTTAACTATGCAAATTTTCATTAAACATCATCATTTGTACTAGGTGTGCAGAAGACACTGTTCAGCACATGCACAATAATTTATCAAAAAAATGCACAGCATATGCACAGCACTCACAATTCAGCGGACATAATTACAAAATTAACACAACTAAAGGCTTGTGTAATCAGTCAGTTGAAAAACAACACCTATATCAACTTCAGTAGTATCATTTATATTTTTTTTGAAAGCATGGAACACATCAAGGTTATAGATTAAATAGGGCTTATGACAATAAGCTTCGGCCTATTACCTATGTAAAGAATACATTAAACTAACTAAACATGAACTTTCAAAACACGCATTTTTTAAGCAAAATTATCTGATATTAACTATTTAATTCTAAAGAACCCGTTTCATTGTAAACTTGTTAGTAACTGAACAATAACACACAAAATTAAAACACAGTTGAAGCAAAAACTACGCCTTAATCACTTAAAATTGATTAATTGCCTCCAACAAGTGAAATTAGGGACTATAGACCCGTCACAAACGGCTTCTCAAGAACTTATTGAAGTTAAATATCTACAAGTTATTTCTTTTACTTCAACGGGTCGTTCACACTCTCTCTACTACACTCCCTCTCTAGGATGGTATGAAGAGAATTGCAAATACAGATTTTAATGTGGCATAATACCACTTGAAACTCACACAACAGAATGTGTGATCTCAAATAATCATCATTGTATACATAACAGAAATCAAATCATAGACAACAAATTCTGACTATACTGAAGAAAAAACAAATCATTTTGCGCATCGAAAACAATTCAAATTGAATCATAATAGTGACTTCTAACTTGAGTTTGGTACCTTCTACGAGACAGAGAGGGAGAAAGAGATTACACAGAAGCCACAACAGAGAAATAAGAGACGAAAATCTTACCTAATCTTTGACCCCGAGAGAGAGAGAAAGAAGAAGGAGAGACGGGTATTGACAAGGTAAGGAGGTAGAGAGAATACAAACAAATGAGGCTAGGGTTTAAGAGGGAGGAGATGAATTATTATTTATTTTGGCCTAATTTAGATAAATTTGTTGAGAATTTTTTTATAGAAGAAATCATTTAACTTTTTTAAAATTTAAAAAGGTAAGTTATTTTTATCTTACAGAAAAAAGATTATTTATTTTTTATTCTAACTTTTTTTTATAAGAATTTTTCCTAAAAAATTACCTAAACTGGATTATAGTATTATACTGATTTGCTTTTAACTACTTGTCAGAGAATATATGTGAAAATGTAAATAAATAAATTATTTAATACTAATATATTTTTAATTCCATCAATTAACAATAGAACGCATTTGAAACATCCTTACATCACAATAACAATACTTTATAATGAAAATACTCAATTTTTTTTACTTTAAAGAATAACTTCAAACAAATTGATTCTTTTAAGTAAACATCAATATTGTCAAGTATATATACAATCTAATCAAATCATACCAGTGAATCACAATTAATTTGGCAAGCTTTCCTTTTCATAGACATTGGACTAACTTTATATTTGAATAAAGAATAATGTGTTTCATACTACTTTATTTCTTATAACTCAACGTCATACAATTATAAAAATATATATAAATATAAATTATATTTTATAGAAATAAATCCACCTATAAGTATGAGACAATAGTGGTTCTTTTTTATCACAATGATTTGTCCAATACTATTATCTCTGTGCATACTTGTATTTTTTAAAGACATTTTTAACAATTAACACAATACAAAATAAATAAAAAAGTATGACTTTGTAAACACACATAAAATAGACAAAGGTTAAAAGAAAAGAAGACATACATGCAAAAACACAATTTAAACAAAATACTGATCCATGAATCGGTATAAGTCAATACTCATAGAATATATTCCTAGAAGAAAAAGACTATTGCCCTTTAGCCATAGAATTAGATTTTGAAATGACGACTCCAAGCGAGCATTTTGGATCACAAATCTTTATAGTGTGAACGCCCAACTTTTTCACCCCTTGGGACTGACAAATTCTTTCGAAAAAGAGCTCTGGCTCAATGGTAGTTAAATCGATATTCAAATAGTAAATTAAAAAATCTATTTTGTAAATTGTGAATCTAATTGTATTCTGAATGATAATATTTATGAAAATCTATTTCTTGCTTTGAGTTCTTTCATAAAAAAAGAAACACATGTATATTTATTCAGGAAGCATCAAATGATAAGCAATGGTATTCTTTTTTATGAATTCACTCATCATCTAATTCAATATTACACAAGCATATAAGATCATAAGTTTCTCCTTTCTCTTCTCTAGTCTTTTGTCTCATATCAAGTTAAAGATTGTATTTAACAAAAATAAGTGCATTTAATCTTTGTTGCTCCAAGCGATTTCTTCTCTTAGTATACACTTGGTCAAATGTAATCTAGTTTTTTCACAACTTGTAGCACTACATGTGAGACTTAAAATTCTCATAGCTACTTTCGTTAGCTCTTTGTACTCTCCACCATAACTTTCCCACCAGTCTTATTAAAATAAAAATAAGATGTATGTCATAGAAAATATTATTTAATTTATCTTAAAATTAAAAGTTTAAAACTTTAAATAATGAAAAAATCAATTTAAAACTACCAGGTTGCTTCTTGTCTCTAGTATCTTTTGCCAAGTTCATTTCAAAAAGTCCCTTAGTAGTCTTGAATTTTTCAAGTTGTTGATCAATAAAAGATCTTGTCCTTCTATCCGAAACTATTCTTTTAATGGTTTCATACAAGTCAAATAAAACCTCACCATTCAGATTGAATTTTTTGTCATAGTGAAACCTAATTAAAGAAGACATAAGGCATACAACTTAAGTTACCCAATCTTTAAAAAAGTTTAAAAAACTTAAGAGATTGATGATGACTTTATTCACCTAGGATTGAAATAATAGGCAGCTACATGAAGAGACCTATGTACTTGTAAATTCCACCTAGTATCAATAATCTTCCACAACTTTTTGTACCTTGACTCTTAATTTTGAAAGATTTTAGCAATTTTCTCTTTAGCTCTATCGATTGTTTCATAAATTTATGGCATGATTGGTTTTGAATCATCATCTACAAGCCTTAATACTTTTACAAAAGAAATCACACACACTTTTACAAATTTTATCTAACAGTTGCTATAAGACTTATTCAAATACAACAGTTTTCAAAATAATATCCTAAGTCCTATAGCAATTCCATCCACCTTTTTACTGAGTCTGGTGCTGATCGTCTTGATTACCTGAAAAATGAATGTAAAGGTGAGTACTCTACACTACCCAAAAACACACAGTCAGCATAGAGTCTTACCTCCAGCACATTTCCAATACATTAAACAAATACAATCACAGACAGCATTATCACACAACTCATGTCAATTTAACACCGATGCATTCACGGCATCGGCAACACTTCACATCCATAAGTACAATTCGTAAACTCGTGCATACACACGCCAGCCACACTCACTGTGGCACTGTGATCACAGATTTACACCATGAATGGTCGTTGGTTACCCCCGCCTCACGGATATCACGTGAGCAGTCATGGGTCGCTTAGCAAAGATAGTGGTCAGAGGTCTAGTCAGGAAGAGAGTGTGTGACCCGTGGTGCACCCGTTTCACAGTTGTTGTCACCACCACTCCCTCTTCCCCAAGGTATTTCTACCATCCTCATCTTCTACACCCCTAGTGTATCGCTGAACCATTCACAATACATTACAACGACGCTACGCGCCCCATTCACATATATTTCATTCACACACACAATATTCATGCTTACACACAGCACACAGTCCACATTCATTTCACATCACATGACACGTAGCCAATACTCATTTATATTACACGGCCCTTGAGGCCACATTTGTTCACAATATCATTAATTCACCAATCAATGACATCCCATCACACACAATCACCCCACGGGGCCTAACTATTCGAGCATACATCACATTGCACACCAATTTCCATTCAATATGCAATTTCTACTTCCTATCTCAACCACATTGCATTAATCAACAAAACACACAAGAATTATAACACATTGAGATAGGGTAGAGTCTCCCCTTACCTTGGATTAAAGACCCATACTCAGATTCAACCACGGACGTGCTTTTTACACAGATTTCGGCCTAAAACACATGGAAGAACTCCATAAAAATCCAAGGAAACTCAGAAACAGAGAAAAGGTGATGAGAAACGGAACCTTAACTATTAAAACTCACCTCTAAGTGTTTTTCACGTGGATTCAACCCTCAATCAAGCTCACAAACGGCTTTGGAGGCAATTTAATCGATGAAAAAGAGTTTGGGAACGAAAGGATCAAGGGGATTTCGAAGGGAGAGGGAAAAATAACCCTCCCCGAATCCTAACCCCCTTTAAATCTTTTCTTGGTTGCAACACTCTCGCTACAGCGAGATATTCTCTCTGCAGTGAGATCCATGCCCTCTCGCTGCAGCAAAAATATCAGACGAAACTGCACCTTGGTTTCTGCAGAATCTCACTACAGCGAGACCCTCTCGCTATAGCGAGACTGCACCCAGAAATGCACCCAAACTGTCGCTCTCTCGCTACAGCGAGAAGGTGACAGTTTCAGTCCTTCTTCCCAGGGTCCTCTCGCTATAGCGATAATTCTCTCGCTGCAGCGAGAACAACCCAGAATTACACCCTACACTTAGGTACTTAACCCATTTCAGCCTTATCCAGTTATGCATACACACAATACACACATTCATATACTTAATACACATAAACATCATTATCAAGTAAATCAACACACACACATATATATATGCATTTAGATTTATATAAATAACAATAATTAATATTACAAAATTTGGAGCGTTACATTAAGCAATACTGAATGGATTTTCAAAACCTAAAGTCACTCAAAACTAAGTTCATGACTTGCTTAACCTCACTTTTACTAGCATAAAAACTTTTAGCCTATTCTTCTGAAGTAAACATAGATCAGAGAACATTCTTTTGTTGCATAATGCAATTTAGTGTAAGATAAGAATTTGTAAACCTTGTTACAACTAGTCTATCTAATTCCCTTCCTTTAAAATGTTGTCTATACAAGTTAAGGACCCATACATGCCTATATATGTAAGTTGTAATTTCTTTGCATTTGAAATTGTCTTAAAGAATACTAGAAGTTGTCCAATATCTTTAAGCACCAAATCTAAACAGTGAGTTGTGCAAGAGGACCAAAACAATTTTGTCTTCTTCTTTTTTAGCATTTTTCTAGCTGTTATAAGGTTAGAAGCACTATCTATCACAACTTGCACTACATTATCCTCCCCAATGTCTTTCACCATGCCATCTAATAATTCAAACATTTGTTTGACGTCCTTGATAACATCACTAGTATCAACTGATTTTAAGAAAACAATCCCACTAGGACTGTTAACAAGAAAATTAGTAAGAGTGTAGCCTCACTTCTCCCATTCACTCTTATATTTCTCTAAATTTTAATGGATGCTATCAACTGCTTTTTTTAAAAAAGATACTCTCACTTCATGATAAGTAGGAGGTTTTAAACCCTTACCAAATTCTCCAATAGCTTTCAACATTTGAATAAAATAGGGGCTTCTTACCAAATTAAATGGTAAAGCATTAGCATATATGCATTTGCAAATTTCTTTAATGACATCTCTATCTTTGAACATTGTATTCATTATTGTTTGTTTTAGAGTCTTAGATGTCCCTTCCTTTTCTTTGCTAACAAAATAATTCATTCTTTTCTTTTGATAACCACTTGCATCTTTGTAACGCCCGAATTTTGTAATAATATTGATTATTAATATAAGTATGAGTATTGTTATTTGAATGCGTATCCGAATTATGTTGATGGTGCGAATGTGCATATATGTGAATGTATGTAGATAGATATGTATATATATGAGTATAGATGGAAATGTTGACTTGAAGTTGGATTGAAAATGCTTGAGAGTA